CGCCGATAGCCCAGTTCGCCAAGGCCACGTGCCTTTTCGTGTTCGCCTTCGTGTTTGCCTGCCTGCTTGTTTATGTTGGACCTCTCTGCCGCTCTTTTATCAACGCTCGTGATCTGTGGGACTCTGCTATCCACACAACAACTTCAACACCCAGAGCGTGTGGGAGGTGGATGCGAAAAGCCAACGACAACCACACGGACCAACGAGTACACACTGAAAAGGATGGATACACACAGCAGCAAAAAAGATCCATCCATACACCGAAAGAGTGATGGTGCGTAGGTGCCAGCCTACCCAATATCAGTGACGGAGTCCCTCCAGGTAGACGAACCGTCACACACACCGACCAGCCATCACCCGTGGGCAGCACAAGCCACTGACACACAGATCCACATGCCAATGGGCGATGTGTGGGTGCAGTGGGTGCAACCGTACCAAGTGCCAGGGCCAAAACGGCCGGCGGGAGGGACAGGCGGCATCACATCACGACACCATCACTGTACACAGCACATGAGAGAGGTGAAATGCAGCACCAGCATGTCCGTGTCCGATACACGTACCTGGATATCATGACAAGGGTGCCACAAAGCCGCCATGGACATGATGTTGGTTGGTTGGTTATTGTGTTTAACGAGACTCGTGTCTGTAACCCCGGAGGGATCCTGCTGTCTCCCCACTAGCTAACGACGGAGGAAACCCTAAAGGTGCACATTTAGGGTTTCCTTTTTGGCTTCATGGCGATGTCAAGCGCCCGCTGGTGGTTCGAATGGTGTGCTTCTCGAGTCGCGCGGCACAGTATCTCGCGAGCATAGTGCAATTCGATCAAGATCTGGGCCCATGGGACATTCAAACCCTAAACCCTGAACCCCAACGGAGCGGGTTCAGGCTTCTGTTGCAGAACCTATAAAGACGTGCGCCGAGGTGGCGTTGTCAACCTTATTACTTTGCCCGCTCCAGCTTGAGCTCCTCGGGATCCACGGCCGCCGAAGGCGGCCGGCACAATACTAGTCTCACGCACTAAACTAGCAGCTCTGCATGTACACGGCCTGTCTACCCCTCCCTGCACTGGCACCAGCGGACAAACAGATGGCAACAGAGAGCACCGGCTGCCTTGTAGAACGTTGACAAACACCGATTCCGGCTACATACACAAGAACGGGCGCTGTCGCCCAGCAAGAGCCATGGCAAATGTACAGAAGCCAGAAGGGGGAAGTAGAAAAATGAGCGCCCTCTGAGCCATCAAAGCAACAATCAGCCAATCACATGAATACACCACCATATACACACGGGACCCATAGGGAAGGAAGAGAGGAAGATAGCAAAGGGAGAGAGAAGGAAACAGCCAGTCAGGCCATGAGGCCCTGCAACATATGATAGACAATACCTAAGGTGCACTCCATCCCTTCACACAGCACTGAGTCTCATGTTGTCCATTGTATCGCTCTCTTCGTGACACACTGCACACAGTTATTGGCCGGCATGTGATGGATCAGTGGGCAGCACGGTGTGATCTAAGTCGATAGGCACTTGGCAGATGTGAGGCATCGCGCCGACCAGTCGGGCACCGTAAAACGATACGGTGGGCCGACGGCCAGAAAAAGACGCCCACAACAGTCCATAGCCCCGACCGAGCACACCCAGACACACGGACCACAGACGAGTGTATGCACACAGGGCGAAACAAACCCATGCCCACACACACAAAGAATGGGCACGAAAAGGGCCCTATACACACGTGAGCAGCACCTCACGACACTTTGCCTACAGCGGGAACATTCGGCACGATATTTTTACGTCCTACAGGATATTTAAGCATAAATCGCTTCAGTCCGAGCACAAAGGCTGGCCGTCACAGGTAGTGAGCTCCCAGACGCCTTCAGAAATAGTGTCGTCAACAGCCGCGACACGAGAGCACACAGGAGGGTACTCACAGGCACCTCTTTGAGCGCCTCAGGGGCGACAATGAACGAGTCCTACCCCACGCTTGGCGGGAGAGGAGCACTCTTACGCAACCTGCGCTGACCGCATCCGCTTACGGGAGGTGCAGAAAACGCTGCATCCATCGCCTTCCACATGAGCCGAGTTCGGCGGTGAACGGAGGGGAAGTAGAGGTACATATATGCATGATGGAAACGGACAGAGCGGTGTGGAAAGCCGTCCGGACGGTAATCCCCCGTGTCTCCACGCGATGTGTTGGCCGTCAAAGGGCGAAGAGTAGCAAACTCAAAACGGCATCACAGAAACCCCGGCCTTGTGGCCTTTCATCTCCGCCCTTGTGCAAGGTGACTTGTGCTTGTGGTGATGGAGACAAGGGTTCGTTTCTTGTCGGATCTGGTGTCGGATGAAAATGCCGCTTGCGTTTGTTTTCGGCGGTTGAAGTTTCAAGTTGTAGCATCTCTGACTGGAGCTTCTCTTTGAGTCTCGAACGGCCGAAGGTAGATTGAGGCCTTGATGTTTTTATCAGAATGAGGCATCCCGTGTTGGGGAAAATACCTGGAGTAGACGGATGTCGTCTGAAAGGAAGGCGAACCCCACGGAGCCGGGATTTTCCTTGCCTGAGCCTTGCTGAGGATACGGATGTCTCGGGCCTTGTCTCGGGTCTCTCCCTGGGGGGATTCCGCCGATGGGAATAGAGACGCTTCGCAGAAGGCAAGGATCGCTCTGGCAGGGAGAGCGCTTTCGAGCTGCTTGCCTGGTCTGATGTTGCAATGAGCGATCTGCTGGAGAATGCACGGTTGGCGGCCTTGTAGTTCACGGCTGCCCGCGACTTTGTTCGTGTCGAAACTGACCGCATGGATGTCAATTCCGGACGATGCCTCTTCATTCACGGATGTTTTGATCAGTTCACGTGCCATAAACTCGCCGACGCATCTATTGACCCTTCCCTCATAGCGTACAGTCCGGCGGTCGTTTCTTTGTTGATGTGTCTCACATATTCGAGAACGGATTTCGAAGCTGAGGGAGCGCAGCCTTGCAAAGGCCCTCCCTGTTGCTTCATCAAAGTGTCGGCTTACCGTCAAACCTCCACTTTCTCTCCTTGTTAGGCCTTTCTTTCGTGAAGTGCATAGGCCTTTACACAAATAGGCAGAGCATCTTTCTCCCTCTTTGTAAACCCCAATCATCGCAACAAGCCGTGTCTCAGAGTGTCTCAGACGGCTCTGTAGTTAAGTCACATCATGTGTTACTTTCAGTAACACATGTGACACTTGGCACTTGACAACGACAAAGAAAGAAAGGCTCTCAGGCACAAAACACTGTGCACCATTTTTCACACGGCTCTGGCCGGGGGTGGCACTGGGTGGTACTCAAACGGAGGCCGAGCGGAAGCATATGCATGGTCCAAAAAGAGCAGAGCGGCGTGAAGTCGCCCCTGACGGTGATCCACACGCTTCAAATCCACAGAGCTGGGGGAAGAAGAAAGCGAATTTATCCCGATTCAGGCAGGCCTAAAGTGTGGTGTGCTGCCGATGACAAACAGCTGATGGAACATCTGAACTATAGCTCGGATTGAAGGCTTAAGTTGAACTGATCCGGAAATAGCCAATGGCCAACGGAGGCAGTACCGTCTTGACAAGATTTACACGAAAGACCGGCAACTGAGCCCCTCGAGGTGGTGCGGCTGCTGGACGCCGGCATGTAGTGTACCCCGCGGGCTCTCGAACTCCTCCACGTGAGACCACCGACGGGCAGCCAATGGCGGCCGTGCCACCCACGCCCATGAAGGGGCCGTTTGATGGGATTCACGCTATAGAGATAGCATTTACTCGACGATTCAATCGACAAGCACAAAGACAGACAAGCACAAACACACAGACACACGTACGAAGTCTCACACACGTAGACCAGTGACCATGGATTGGGTTTGCGTGTGGCTTGGGTCGACACAACTGTGTAAACTTTGAGTTCCCAATGGACACTTGCTTGAATCTGAACACAGCATAGCAAGATGTATCATGCATTAACACAATCGTGCTGATTTAGGTCCACAGCTGTGCCAACTTTCGGTGGCTGATTCTCTTTCTCAGACAGCGCAGGGCGATGGCCGCTGGCGTGGCACCAGGCGTGCAGACACAGCATGACGAGATGTATCAGACATACATGCTTTTGCATCAAATGCATCACAGTCCCGAGAGAAATAAGCAAACGCCGAATTCCGTGTAACGTTAAGCGACACTAGTTTTCGCCACTTTTTGCGCGAACGAGAGGGCGCAATTGCAATTGGAAGCAAACTCGTTTCTCGCAGTGTCCGTGCGCATATATTTCATCAACGAGATCTGAAAGAGACCGCACACTTCGTGAAACTGATCTGAGGTGTCGTGTGCATAAAACAAAATAAAATTATCCACGTGCCGCCAGACGACGCGAAGAATGCCACGGTCTCTACGCCTCAATGCCTCCCAGCTTTGTCGCCAAACTCTCATCCACATACAGGGTACTGTTCTCCATTGGCCTTTTTGTTCCGGCTGGAACTGGTCTGCGCTCGTCTACACTCAACATCCCTCTCTCAAGGCGAATACCTACTTGCAGGTAGATATTGGGCGTGCTAGGTATTCGCAAGGAGACGGGAGAGCGAGTCGTATTGCACATTGTGTCATCGGACTCTCTCGTCTTCGTGCAGCCTTTGTTGGTGAACAGACGCATGTCGTTGTGTTCTATGTACATACATGTGTTGTATATACATATGCAGACGCAGTGAAGAGGTCACGCTGGCTATACATTGCATTGAAAAGACCTGACAGTGCCCTTTGGGCACCCACCGTACAGAAGTTGCGGCTGAGATTGTCCAGCCAGCCTTTCGGCTCTGCGGGCCGCGTGCCGACCTTGGAGATGTGTTGAAAGGCTGATGTGACCTAGACATCGCATGAAGTGACGCGTTGAAAGCTGATTGTCCGCAAACTTCGTCGCCCGTTCATACATGCTCTTCCCTCTCATATGTGCAACCTGTCGCACAAGGATTTCGTTGTTCTCTAGAAGCTAGGGGATGCACGGAAGGACAGAGCATGGCCCCGCACATTCGCCGCCGTACCTTCACCCCCAACACAGACGACAGTCCACTTGGCGGTTGTGTATATATTGTTGGTGTATCGTTGACCTTTAGGCAGCACATTGTGCACGATTCTGTGAGCCTATCCGTATACTGCTGGATACTTTCTGCTCGTTGTGCACGTCCAAGAAGAGACATCCATCGACATGATGTGATAATAACTATCAAATGGCTGTGTCACTGTCTGCTTGTTTGTGTGCTGTCACTTGCTGCCAGCGCGGATCCGCTCAGTCCCCGATCCCTCCACCATCTCCACAATCACCCGAGGAAACACCGAGCAACGATTTTGGTAGTGATGGACGGTCGTGTATGATACTGGAATTGTACGGAACACAAAACCACGCCACCCATACATCACCTATTCCCGCAGTCTGAGCTCCCGCTCCGTATGCACAAGCAGCGGACCCTAGCGCACAACACACAGGACAGTCACATCAAAAAGTGAGCCTTCAAGCAAGCATCCTCGCTCGCCTCTGTGGACACGTAAGATGGACACGATCGCCCTCTCCCCCCCCCCCCCCCC